ATATATGAAACCAAGGAGGCTTAGGTGACCTCTTTAGTCACTAATTTGTCACCTTCATAAAAGATAAACTGATGGTGAGGGTGGTCTGTGATCATGCCTCCTGAGGCAGTGTCAAGCAGGCAGCATTACCTCTGCATCTCGGTCCAGGCTGATAGTTTCCATATCCACAGCCAGCTCATGTTCCTCTGAAAAAATGAGAAGGAAAATAGCTCTATTTACAAGAGGCAGTGGCCAAAGGTGTTTGTAAAGAGCTGTCACTCTGCCCTAGGGCTGCAGATCTTTGGTTCAACAAAGCTAACCTAAGTGCAGGGGACACTAAGGGTGACTCAACAAGGGTAATATTTCAAGCACTCTACAAGTTTCCTGAGTTCAGTCGTTGGCAAAGTTTCCAAATGTCCACCTGTGCCTCTGACCCCCCGCCCCCCCAAGAAACCAAATGCACCTTGAATTTCCTGGTGGAAAGGAGACGGCAGCTGTCTGAATCGTGGTGAGCACATCACGGCCATGGCTGTTGCCTTCTTGGAATCCCCAGTGTCTGCTGCCAGCAGCCTACCCCCCATGTATTCTTTGCCTTCTTGTTTGTGGCACTAAATCAGGCCATTTGAATACAGATTATGCAGGGCCATCACATGTTCTAGGATGTGTCTTTTATTGCTTTGGAAAGTAGCCCAGCATCTACAGATGCTTCTCTGCACAGAGAGGGAAATAAAATGAGGCAGAGCTCAAAAGATAGGATCAAAGAGCCTCCATGAATAATTTAAACAAACGTCTGAACTGGAAGCCTCATGAACTAATTCCAGCAGAGAAGCCCATTTGGATTGCATGTGACTATCTGCCCCAGAGACAGTCCCAACTGCTTCCTGTTAAGAGTGGAGAGCCTCACATCTCACCTTAATAGCCCCTTTTTCATTTCATCAGAGCCTGATTAAGTATGTAAGCTGAAAGGAACACACAGACATGTGCACACACCCCTTAAAATACTTTGAGAGTAACAGTATTTCCTTCATATCATCAAGTAGCCAATCACTGTTCATAGGTCCTAGTGATCTTATCATTTCTTTTTCCAGTTTGCTCCAGTAAGCACTCAAATAAGGCTATTTATTTTGACTGGATGGTATTATTATTATTATTTTTTTTTTTTTTTCTCTCAGTCCCTCCCTTCCTTCCTGTTTTTGAGACAGGGCCTCATTATGCAGCCCTGACTTGGCCATGAATTCAGAGATGGTCTGCCTCTGCCTCCTGAGTGCTGAAATTAAAGTGTGTCCGACCATGTCTGGCTCTTTTTCTTTTTCTTTTTGGTCTTTTTGAGACAGGGTCTCCCTGTAGCCCCAGCTGTCCTGGAACTCACTATGTAGACCAGGCTGGCCTTGAACTCACAGAGATCCGCCTGCCTCTGCCTCCCAAGTCCTGGGACTAAAGGCGTGCACCACCATGCCTAGCAGTCTTGAACTTTTAATCCTACTAGTTTCCCAGGTGCTGAGATGACAGGCATACCACTAAGCCCAGTTTCATGGATGGTGTTTCTCTAGAGACCTGTTTTTCTCTTGAAACTTCCTGTGAGAAGGAAATAGGCTGTTTGTCTTGCAGTGCTTCAGATCGAGACTGCATTCTGTCCCAGGATGCTCTCAATTTTGTTCCACAGAACTGATCATCACTGTTACAATTTTCCCTAGGCTCTGTCTCCTGTACTTCTTCACCTTAGAGCAAACCTGCACTTCAGTCTGCAGCAGAGTCAGCTCACACACCAAATCAGCTTATATCTGGCTCCTCCAAAGATTAGAGGCCTATGTGCTGGTCAGCCTAGAGAGGAACATGTGGCACAGGACCAGCTTAACAAAGAAGAAATGGCCCCATATGGCTGAATTCACTTTACTGCCTTTTCATCATGTCTTTTTATACAATGATCAACAATAACCAGTTAAAGCCAGGCGTGGTGGCGCACGCCTTTAATCCCAGCACCTGGGAGGCAGAACTCTGGGAGTTCAAGGCCAGCTGGGGCTACAGGGAGACCCTGTCTCAAAAAGATAAAAACAAAAACCAAAAAATCCAAACCCCAAAACCAAAAAAAAAAAAACAGTAACTAGTTAAAACAAGTTTTCTATAGATTACACATAACTATAGCATATCAACCAACATAGAAGTTAAACAATAGGAACTGGGGAAAATCAAGAGGCAGAACAATTTTATCTACTCTGCATATACATATATACACACATACAAATTAAGAAAAATAAGTAGAAGGTAATGGTTGACACGTTTGAGTTAGTTTTGCTGAGACTCAGGTAAACACAAGTAGGAACATTCTCAGTCTCTTTAAGGACTAGAAATGAATGTTCCTAGGAGCTAGTATATTTCTAGTCAATTGGAGGTAAAAGCAAAGGGTCTAGATAAGCTGGGTTCCAGCCCAACTGATGTACTTTGCAGTAGAACCCTCTGGTCAGTATGGGACTTATTCCCCTCATCTATCATGCATTAGATCTTGCAGTGAGCTATAACAATAACACTGCTAGCCAGGGGAAGGAAGCCCAGGACCGCACCATTGCAACTTCCAAGTCCTCCAGGTCGCCCAATGTTTAATGGCACAGAACTCCGTCCTTCTGTGACTAAGTTAAGCGATAATGACAGCACCCATTTGCTTCATCCACCCACATCACCTCCAGAATATCGGCTCTGAAGCTCTAAACTAACTGTGGTGGGTCCTTTTGTGATAATCTCCTTTTGCTTTAAAATTTGGTTACCATAGCTACCAATCATCTTTGCTGGCACACAGTGCACAATGCTATTTTAAAAGTAGCTATGTTTTTATAATTTTTTTTTTTTTGGTCTTTTTTGAGACAGGGTCTTCCTGTAGCCCCAGCTGTCCTGGAACTCACTACGTAGACCAGGCTGGACTTGAACTCTTAGAGATCCACCTGCCTCTGCCTCCCGAGAACTGGGATTCTAATTTTCTAAGCAAACAAACAAGCATAGGCCATTACTGGGGAAGGTGCAAAAACTACCACAGGTGGCTGGTTAGCTAGTTCCACAGTGATTTTCCTAACACCATACAGTTGACAAGTTGATCCTCAGGCTTATAGAAATAGTGAGGTGGGAATAGAAGTGATTTCTCATTATTGTGGCAGGACAGCCGTTCTGAGTACAGGGTTAAAAAAACATTTCCTGGCTCTGTTCCAAGTGACACACTAGTGCCAATATCATCAGCAGTAGTACTGGCATTCAGCAGAAACAGCCACACTATACCTATAGATGTTAAAGAGCCGGCTGCCAAGGCAGTACCCCAGAGAGCATGCTGCCCTCTGTAGTACAACCATCTTCCCAGTCCACCAAGAACCTCAGAGAAACACAACCACCATCCTGGGGACACATCATGTACAACACAGCAGCAATCTCAACCAGCACACTTCCCCCTGGTGAGTTCAAGGTTAGCTATGCCAGTACCTTCTGGGTCCTTCTCACCCCGCTCTACTCCATCCTTCAGGCTCTGTTCGCTGAGGTCTGCCACAATGCCGCCACTGTGCTTCTTCCCTTCCTCATCACCTGATTCTTCAGATTCAACCCGCCTGTCAACTGAACATGTCAGTAAAAATTCACGTCCATTTCATGAGACAATGTGAGAAACGTAACAGATTAACACCCAGTTTTAAGTTAGCAAAAACTTCATTGTAAAATGGCTGAATTCAGTTCATGAACACCTGAATGTCTTCCATGTCCCAGCATCATCTAAAACACAAAGGCAGGAATGGGGGACAGAGCATGGAGGCCACATGATCACCTGAGTAACATGCTATCTCCTTCCCCTCCCCTCAAGGGTTTACAAAGAATTACCAACTGTTCTGAAAACCTTTGATCACCTGTAATCAAGGGCATTAATGGTAGTGCACAGTGAAGCATCTCCTAGGCATGTCTCACATTTGATCTGATGTCTACCATACAGGGTGTACCATTGTGACCTTCTGCCATATACCTTCAAAACATGTCGCCATCTGGCCAAGAAAAACAACTCAATTCACAGGCCCATAGTTTGACAGAAATCAAATCTAGCTAAATCAGACTGTGAACAGGGAGGGGCTCTAATGAAAACGAGCATGTGCCAAAGTGCCACCCGAACACCACTGATGCTAAAAGGTCCCTGGACAGTGTTATCAACTTGAAGATTTGATAGGCAAAGAAACATTTTTTTGAGTGGATGAATAAAGCAATGATGAAATGTGGCAGGCTGGTAAAAATTCTCTGGCAAAGCGGTTAATTATCTTTTTTTTTTTTTTTTTATAACTTTTTCATGACCTCTTTTGGAAGTCATTTTGGAAGGTACTCACATACTATTTGGAATTATCAATCTTACTGAAATTATCTCCCTGACTTTTCTACAAAGGGTATGTACGCTCCTGAGGGCAAAACTATTCCATTTAATCTTTGTATTTTCTGCTATTCCTAGCAAAGCACACCCAGGAATAAAACAAATATTTTCTTTGGTCTTTTTGAAATAGGGTCTCCCTACAGTCCCAGGCAGGCCTTGACCTCACAGAGCTCTGCCTGCTTCTGCCTCCCGAGTGCGTGTGCCACCACACCCAACTTAAATCTTTCTAAAATCCAGCTCCTAAACCTCCAACTCCAGCTCTTCTTCCCCAACATGGCTCAGCTACTTGTGACTCGAAGCCTGGTCTTCCTCTTGATTGTCTGGTACTGTTTATTCTCTACTGTCAGGGAATCCAGTATGATTCTAAAACCCAATCTAACACTTGAATGCAGAAATCTCTCTGGACCACCTATGGCTCTTCCTGCCTTTCTATCTTGCCCCTAGAGGCACAGCTCTGGCAAATCATTTTCCTTTCCAAGCCTCAGTCTCCACATCTGTAATAGAGAATTAGTGGAGTACCTGCCCCTGTCAGGAACAGAAATGGCAAAGAGTGGCTCATATGTATGACATACAGGAGAATGTAATGAGTTATCAAGAGGCACAAGGCAGTCTGTGATCCAGGCTAAGGGAGACGAGGTTCTGGGTCATAGCCTGTGTATCTCTCTAAGCAGGGGCCAGAGGATAGGAGGGCAGGCCACAGTACAACCTGTGCCTCTCAGGGCAGCAGAGAGGTTCTAGAACATGGGGTAGTGTAAGAAATTGACTGTGCAGCTCTGGGCATGATGGGCTAGCAAATACACTATTAAAGGAGGAGGATCTGAATTAAGGTATTGTCACTGATGGAAGAGCATAGAGCTATTGGAGATATGTCAGCTGGTAATGAGAAAAAAAAGAGAGAAAACCCTGGCTTTTGCATTTGCCCTTTATTGAGAAAACAGGGGGGGAAGAAGAGGACTGGGGAGTAGGGTAAGAGGGGATAGGAAGAACACCACCTCGCTTAGAAAACGTTTCAGGGTAAAAAAAGGCACCTAGCCGGACCCCTCCCCGCCCTAAGACCACCATGACCTTTTCTAGCCAGACTCACTGGCTTCCTCCACCCCCATCCATGACTGTTAATCTAGGTCAAACTCTCTTCCATACTCTTGCTGTTAACTGGATTTCCTTTCTCTGGAATGTTTGATGCTCCCCACGTTTCCCCAACCTGCATAACGTCTAGTGATCCTTCAAGGCCAAACTCAGGGCATCCATCACAACCCTCAAACACAATGGCCTTTCCTTCTACACCCCTAGTCCCTGCTCTGCAACCCTCTTCCCCAGCACTTTTCTTAGGAGAGAGTGTCGGCTCTTCTGGAGGTGTGTACCAGTCCCGGGAATAGTGGAGCCCTTTAAAGCATTTAAGCACTCAGTTTCGTTTGACTTTGCAATGGTGGGGCATGTGTGCATATACATGAATCTATATATGTGCATGCAATGATTGTCTATTATTACACAACTATGTACAAGACATGCATATATAACACGTACATGTATTTATGTATATAACTATATAATAATCCCAACACAGTGGAAAAACAGGAAGAAAGCTGAATTTAGTCCTTTTGAGATTATGAAAGCCTAGAACACGGGCACCGCCTCGTGTAACACACTCTCCAGTGGTCCTTGTCAACCATCCTTCTACCACAATCCACTCGCTTTCCAGGGTAGACTCCCCTCCACCTACCACGACCCAACTGTGGACTCTTCTGCCTCAGTTTCACTGGGAGCCAACAGTGGACCGGCCCCCGCCCCCTCGCCTGTCAATCTCGAAACTTCAGGGCCAAGCTCCCACTGCTGCGGTGTCCTGTCTACCCCCATCCCCAGGCAGGCTCGCGCCGCGCGGTCCCCCGGGCTCCGGTCCTCGCCGGCCGCCCTCGGGCCGCCGCTCCCGAGGTCCAAGCCTCCCCCGCCCGGTCCAGCTCAGCTGGCAGCAGGCTGGGCCGGCGGCTGGAGGTCGAGCCCCTTCCCGGGGAAGGGGTTGTGCGGGCTGAACCCCCAGCCCGCCGCTCCCCAGCCGCCCGCAGGGGCCGCTCACCCTCCATCATCTCCTGCGACTGTTGCTGCCCCGCGCCGCGCTCCGCCGCCATATTGGATACTCTTCCCCCTTTCCGGAATCTGTCGCCTCAGGGCCATGGGCCAATCAGGAATCCCGGTCGCGAGCCCGCCAGCCAATAGGATCTAGTACAGGGCTCGGACTGACACGCCTGCGTGAACGCGGGGCCTCATGGGAGTGGTAGTTCCCGCCTACGCTGGGCCCGCCCGCGACGAGGTATTTGAAAAATGAGTGAAGTCTAGGCGAGCTGGGCGGTGTCCGGCAGCATGGGAGACTCTTCAGGCTTGCACGTTCGCTCTCGTCACCGCGAGGGCTTCGGGGGCGTGGAGGGACTGAGGCCGAGCGATCTCTGCAGGCCACAGGGGCAGCAGGCTGGACTAGCATGCTCGGCTCCGGGGGCCCTCGCTGTGGCGTCTGCACCAAGGGTCGAGTGGCCCGAGGGACCGATTTGTCCGACGCGTACGCGCTGGTTGCCGGGTGCTCCAGTCCGCGGACCCTCGGCGCTGGCGGGAGGGGCCGCTCGTTTGCCAGCTTCGTCCGCTCCCGTCCCCCGTCCCTACCGTGAGAACGTGGCCGCCGAAAGGCGAGCTCCGCGCCGCTCATCGTCTTCGGTTCACGATGGGAAGTAAACGGCAGTCGCTAGGCCCGGGGCGGAGGAGCCGGTCTCTTTTGGCTCCTCCGAGGCGCTGTAGGTGTCCGGTGCGTCCTTAGCAACGCTTCCCGCGCGCTCTGCGTTTACTCTTGCCGAGACCCGCCCACCGGCGTCCCTAATTGGTCTTTGAGGCCTGTCAGTCTCCGTGGGTGGTTCTGCTATTGGTCCGTGGGCTAGAAGCGCGCGGGATCTTAAGGCTGTGAATCCGGCCTCCGGCTGGGACTATCGACTGCGCCAGGAGAGCCCGGAGCTCCAGTGAGCAGTCTGTGCGGGCCCCTGCCGGTCCTCCTGCCCCGCGGCGGGGCCGAGCGGGCCTGGCCGGTGCCTCTTGCGGCCGCAGGCACTCCTCTCGGCCCTCGTTCTGGGTAGTGGCGGCAGCCTAGTTCGCGGGGCGTTGTCGGGTTGTGGCCGTTTGACCCGCGCTCGGGAGGCGCCGGCGCCGGAGCGTCCTTTGCAGGGTTTCCAGCCGGGTCCGAGGAGTAGCCACCCTGGCTGGTCTCTCCTAGGTCTGCGTCTGATTGGTTCCTCATGCTTTGTCCAAAGGCAAGGTCAGCAGAAGCCCTCGCCGCGTCCGTTTGCACTGGAGCAGTCTTGGGCTCCGAGTGCGTGAGCGCTGGCTCCCTGCTTCGCGAACCCTCACGTGCGTATCCCAAACACGCGTGGGCTTTATTCGTCCTCTCACTGTGTTTTCTCAGCAGAGAATCTCGGGATGTTGTCTTGACGCCTATTCTCCCCACAGCTCTGAGAACATCCAGCCAACTCAGATGTCGAGTTTTTTCCGTAGTTCGGTCTCTTCGTCTTTCTGCTCTGAATTATTGTTACTTTTTCCTTTGTCCCAGCCTTGCTTCCAGAATGATCTTTGTACAATGTGCATTTTGTCATGTTTCTTCAAAGAACTGAGCCCTTTGAAGAAAATCGAGAGTGTTCTGCCAGCCCGTGGAGGCTCTGGGAGTGAGGTTTGGCTTCCGCCCTGGCCACCTGCTCTCCTGGAAGGTGTTCTCTTCACTCAGCTTTGTTAGTGCTCCCTCTGGGAATGCTGACAGTTTGGTTTGGAAGGTCCCCTTTGCCTCCGGCCCTCACCCAGTGGCTATCATGTGTTTACTCATGAGGTTGTCTTGATGCAAGAAACAAACCCATGGGCTCAGGATGGCTCTGACAATGAGAAAAGCAGTTGCCCCCAAATCCAAAGTCCAGAGGAAGGCAAGCTTTGGGGTGGGTTGATTAAGTGGGTCAGACATTTCCAGGTCCTGAGCTGGTGAGATGGCTTAACTGGTAAAGGTGCTCACTCTCAGAGTTAATGACCTGAATTCTGTCTCTGGGACCCACATGGTGGAAGGAGAGAATTGACTTCCACAAGTTGTCCTCTGACCTCCACATGACACCCCACCCCCAAAATAAATAAATTAAAAATGCCCAGGTCCAGCATCCACAGTTTTGGTTGACAGAATCCTAAACATGCATCTGAAAGTGTAAAGTTATTTAAGTTGCAACTGAATAAAAGATTATAATGTGATATTTTGCCTAAGGAATAATGGGTTAACTTGTGTCCTTTTTGTTTGGATGAGTTCAGGTGTTTTTTTTTTTTTTTTTTTTTTTTTTTTTTTTTTTGTTTAACTGCCTGCTGGTTGCTTCCATCAGATGCCAGCCCTGTGCTTTGTGGTCCATCGGTGGGAACAACTGGAATCATCTGCTTTCTAGCTGTTTTGCTCTGGTTGGAGAGATGCTTCCAGAGAAGAAAAAGAATGTTTTCCCAGAGCTCCCTGCAGAGTGGTCCTGGCTTCTGTTTAGTTTTAGCTGGGGTTCCCTTTACCTTCTGGATCCTAGCTAGCAGTGGGGGTAGGATTACTCTGTATAGCATCAGGTGCTGGGCGGGCTCTGCCTCTCATTCCTACTGCCTAGATTAGATATAAAACAAACAAAAAACCTTTTAAAACCACAGGTCAGGATGTCCATGCATTTCCATTGTTTGCTTGTTTCTGTTTTTGAGATGAGGGCTTGCTTTGTAGCCTAGGCTGGCTTATATTTCACTGTGTAGCCCAGGCTAGCCTGAAACTTATGGCAATTCCCCCTACCTTAGCCTTCCAGATATTGGGGTACAGGCATACCATGACTTAGTCTGGTTGACATTTGAGTCAAAATGAAACCTGTGAAAAGTTAAGGGATCTATGGCTGTGCTCTCAGGCCATCCTTTAGCTGTGGTGTTGACTGTGTGGTAAGGACTGTCAGAGTGACACTGACTCTGGGATTTTCTTTTCCTTATGGTGTGAATGTTCTGTTTAGTGCTCAGCTGGTCCATGTGGATTTTAAGTAGTCCACTACTGACTAATTTAACTTGCTGCCACTCATTTCCCTCCAGCCAGTATTATGACTTTCCTCCCTGGATACCATTGTAACTGTCAGTAATGTAATTACATGTACATTTCTCTTTATTACTATTTATTTTTCTCTGCAGTGCAGCCTCTTGGTGAGATGGTTTTCCTTCTTTGTAGGTTTGAAGAGTGTGAATTTGATGGAGGATAGTCTTTGGAAGACTTCAGGTCTATGTTTAGTATTCTTTGCTTCTGAGATTACATTTGCTAGAACTTAATGGTTTTGTGGAGTCGGGGCCACACTGGACCTCTAGGGTCCCTGGCCTTTTTTAGGGGGTCTTAGGATAGCTCTTCTCTGGTTTTGACTCATTATTTTTACCTTTTGGAAATTCCTTTCATGTGTCTCAGAGATGCACAGAGCAGCATTCTTGGTGAGCTCTGGTTGTTGCAAAATACAAGTGCTGTTCAGAGTCACTCACATACCATGTTCTTAGTCTTGACTTCTTTTTCTTTTTTGGCTCAAAGTTTACTTTTTATTTTGTTTTATTACTGTGACTATATATATATGGTGTGTGTGTGTGTGTGTGTGTGTGTGTGTGTGTGTGCATGTCCACATACCATAGATGTGCATGTGGAGGTCAGAGGACAACTTTATGAAGTTGGCTTTCTTCTTCCACCTATATGTAGGTTCTGGGGATTGAGCTCAGGTCATGAGGCTTGTACAGCAAGCACTTTTACCTGCTGAGCCATTTTGCCACCCCTAAAATTTCCTGAACTTTTATCTTTTGTTTTTAAATTCACCCAGAACTAATTTTGGTACATGGGAAGACAGATGGAGTTTAGGCAAAATTATTTAACTGTTCAAAGCTAGCAGATCACAGTTATTAAGCATTTAGTCTCTCAGTCCCTACTTGGCTCCTGAAATTCTGTGAGAGCGCTATGGGTGTGAGTTATGTTATCTTCATTTTACATGGGAAAGGATATTTAGAGGCCATGTTGTCCATTCAGGGTCATTGTGATTGGAGAGACCATGTGGATTCCCGTTGATTAGAAGAGTCTCTTCATTGTGTGTCAGCCTTCTTACATTTCTTGGTCTGCTTCTGAAATTGACCATGTCCTTTTGTCCACTTATTTACTTTGTATGGTTTCATGGGATATTGTAATGTCAGCATTCTGTTCTTTCTGTGTAAGGGGCCCTGCCTGTCGTCCTCAGGAGCTGTCAGTAGAGGTAGACATTGGTCAGGCCTGTAGACTCATGACTGTATCAGAGACTATATGTGATCAACTTGAGCAAGTTATAATCAGGCTCATAGCCTTTTAAATAAAAATAGGTGCTCTTCTCCCTTCCTGTGAAATTAAAGAAATCTTTTTTTTTTTCTTTTTTTGAAACAAAATCTCATATAGCTTTGGCTGGCCTTGAACTTACTGTGTAACTGAGGATGACCTTGTACTCCTGATCCTTTTGCCTCTACCTCTCAAGTGCAGGGATTACAGAAGTGTACCACCACACCACATTCAGCTTAAAGAAGTCTTTGTGATCACCTTAAAAGCCAGGATGCAACTGGAAGATTGCTATCTTAGGAGCTCCTTACTGGAATCTGGTGGTTTGTGAGGATAGGTCTCTATCCTACATTGGGAAGGGCCCAGCCCCTACTGCTTGTCCAAGATTGATTTTCCTTGTGAGGCAGCTCCGCAGCTAATTCTCAGGTATGAGTGTGCCAGCATGGGGATCCTGTATAAGAAGAGGCTGATGTGGGCCTAGCAAGTGGGCTCTAGGCTATTTGGTTATGGGCTCTGAGGTTCTAGGTACCCAGAAGTTAGTGCAGAGGAAGGGGCTCAGGTGGGCATGGCTTGTGGTCTCCCTCTATCATGGGAAGTTCTAGTCAGTGGTCCTGGTACTGGCCACATGTACTCTTGTCACTGTCTTTGGATGACTTCGGTGAGATGTGCCTGCTCCTGGCAGAGAAGACTGTCTTCTTAGTGGCTGTCTTTGGAGTGGTCTTAAGCACAAGGCACCTGGTCCATATGTGCCCATGTGCTTGTCAGTAGAATAGATGCTTGAGGCCACTGTTGTCAGCTGTGGAGTGAGCATATGGGATAAGACTGCAGGAACTCAGCGCGCGCGCACACACACACACACACACACACACACACACACACACACTGCAGGTCCATTTCACCTGTGGTATCAATGTCAGTTTCCTAATGTGATCTTGTATTGTAGATCTGCAATGTGTTGTCTCTGGAGGAAACTCAGTGAGGGGCACATGGAATTTTTTTCTGTTTTAAAAAAATACTATTATTATTATTATTATTATTATTATTATTATTTAGTCTTTTTTTTGAGACAGGGTCTCCCTGTAGCCCCAATTGCCTTGGAACAAGTATTATCTGCTTGTATGTAAGTGTACCTGTGTTGTGCAGTGCCCATGGAGGTCAGAAGAGGGCATAAAATTCCCCTGGAACTGGAGTTATGGACACTTGTTAGCTGCTGTGTGGGTGCTGAGAGCTGAACCCGGGTCCTCTGCAAGAGCAGCCAGTGCTCTGAACTGCTGAGCCATCTCTCCAACCTGTATTTTCTTCTTATATCTGTATTTGAATCTGCAATTATACCAGAATGAAGAATTAAAGACACATCTCTTATCCAGTCTTTAGGTAAAGCAAATCTAGCTGTGGCCTTGCTCTCGTGTGCTTCAAGGTGTTCCATGTGCGGACCCTCCAAGCTGGCAGTTCTACGTGACTTCCAGAAAGACTTCCAGAAAGACCTGGGAGCATTTCCGCTCATGGGGACTGGTAGCTCCCGCTTGCCCTCATAGCCCCTCTCACTGCGTTTTCTTTTTGTTCTCTGCTTTCCTGTGCCTCTGTGTGCATTTCTCCAGAAGAGCTTCTTGTAGCACAGCATTGGGCTGACTGTACTCACGCTGTAGGTTCTGAGCTGGGATGCCAGGACTTAGCTGGTTTGACAGCCTTTGTGTTCTGCACTGCGAATGTTAATCATGCACCCTTTGTTTTCCAGGTGAGGGCTGTTAGCGGTTAGTGACTAGCTGGCCTGCTCCCCATGGAGGATAGAGGCCCTCCTGCCTTTGCTGAGGGCTGGAGATGCCTATCTGGGAGTCCTGCACAGGAAGACCCAGATGGTCAGGCTGCCTCTGAGCCCAGCAAGTCACCCTCATCAGTCCACAGACATCTAAGCAGGAAAAATGGGCTTTCCAGACTCTGCCAGAGCCGGATGGCGCTTTCTGGTGATCACCTTGTGTTGTTCTGGGCACTGGCCTCATAACTGAAAATGCAGACTTGCACTTTCCCTGGGATTCCTTTTGTCAGGGACTGAGAAACAGTCCCTGTGTTCTTTCTGGGAAGCATTGTCTGCTAAGGTGCTGGGCCATGCTCATTGGGAAGGTTGCCCTGGGGAGGACACCTTGGGCCACTTTCTTCCTGTCTGCTTTTTCATGTGGTAGTGTTGGCACACAGCACCCCTCCAGCAGTAGTTGGGATTCACCTTCACATTTCAGGACCAAATTAGAGTCAAGTGTTACTTCTTACCAGATTATGTGCGTGTGCTGTCTTAGGCCAAACTGGATTTCAGAGGAAGTGCAAGTGTGCTGATTGGGCTCAGAGTGTTCACTGATTGTGTGCAGCAGCAGATGTGGTCTTTGCATCTGGAAATGGGGCCATATAAGGCAGGGTCCCTGCAAAGGTGACAGCAGCAGCCACCTTCATAGCGTAGGGTACCCTTGCTTCATAGCTAACGGATGTTTCCAGGCTCTGGTGCCTCATGGGTCCAGACATACTGGCCTTGGGCCGCAGCCAGGAAGAAAGAGCTTATTCGGTGGTGTGTGATGGGGGCGTAGCGGGGAAGGGATGTTGGGTGTGGTATGGTGTGTGTGGTGGGGAGGACTGAGGGACAGCAGGGTGCATGCTTGAAATTGGGATAGAGTTAAAGCAAGGAAGTCCTTTAGGATAACAGATGTCTCAGAGCCAGAGCAGAGCACAGGGAAGGGCTGTGTTCTGTCTGGAGGTTGTCGAACAGTGATGTGCTGGGATATCAGATGTTGTGGCCCAAATAGCATGTGGCTCCTAGGAGAGGGCCAGTGCTGCTGCTGAAGCAAGGCAGAGGCCACAGCTTCTCAGGAGGCTGCTTCCCCTGTTACTAGTCCAGGTGTGTTTGCTGCAGAGTGATGACATGATAGATTGATTTCAGGAGGACCCACAGGTGTCTGCTCAGGGAACTGGGGTAAGGCAGGTGATGATGTGGCCGTTAGCCTCAGGGAATGGTTAGAATGAGATTATGTATTGAGAAAGTCTGGATTCCAGTTGGAAGGAGACAGGAAAGGAAGAGAGAGGATAAGAGAGTGGTGAAGACTAAGGTCGACGTGTGTGTTTGGTTTCAAGTCCAGTGTATTAGTTACTTTTTTGTTGCTGTGATAAAACACCATGGCCAAGGTAATTTGTAGAAGAAAGAGTTTATTTGGATTACAATTCCAGAGGGATAAGAGTCCATCATGGTAGGGAGGCATGGTGGCAGAGGTGGCCAGAACAGAAAGCTGAACGCTCATGTCTTCAGGCAGACACAGGAAACAGAGAGAGTAAACTGAAAGTGGGACAAGGCTATGAACTCTCAAAGTCCACCCCTAGTGACATGCTTCTTCCAGCCAGGTGGAAAAATGGCACCACCAACTAGGGACAAAGTGTTTGAATACTTGGAGCCTATGGGAGACATTCTCCTTCAAATCACCACACCCAGGAAGAACAGAAGCTGGTGAGGGAGGCTTGGGCAGTTTGGTCCAGGGGAGGATTGGGGCTGGAGGCAGGTGTGGGAGCTGACAACACACTGATCTTTCCAGGGTAGTAAAGGTGCCAAGGAATGGGTGAGGTAGAAGGGTCACTTAGTGGTGAGAGGCAGGGAAGGGAAAGGTACTCAGGTGCTTAAATGGGGGGCTCTGAGTGAAGGAGGGAGCTGAGGAGGAGCTCAGTGATGCCGGTAGGTGGAATGTAGTGAGGACTGAGGATTTGCTTTTGGACTGTGCATTTTGAAAGCCACTGGAGAGGTGGCTGACCGCAGCTCTCTTGGAGTTGTGGGAACAGAACCCATGGGAGGAAGCAGATGGAGGGGTGGGCAACAGGAGTCCTTGAATTGTGTGACAATTCCCAGGAGCAACTGATGGGGCAGTGGCTTGAGATCACTGACACTAGAGAGGAGACATTGTAAGCAAGAGCTCTCCATGTGGGAGGAATGAGGCCTTAGAATGTGACTTAGAAGTATTCATCTTGGGCTGTCTATGCTTCTTAGAGGATGTTGATTTATGCCTGAGTGTGGGGAGGGCATGAGCCCTTTGAGGGTTTTTTGAGAGTGACTTGTTCAGTCACACAGCATAGGAATTAGCACTGTAGATTAGATAAGTGCTGGGGTCCTGTGCAGTCTGCATGCTTTGCTTGACTTAGAGGCCAGCTCTGATAGCCATTCAGGTCTAATACTTTCTAAATTTCCTTTCCTTGCAGAAGACAGGTGGAGCTCTTACTGCCTGTCATCACTGGCCACCCAAAACATCTGCACAAGTAAACTGCACTGTCCTGCTGCACCTGAGCACACCGACCCACTGCCTGGGCCCCTGGGCAGCACATCTTGCTGCTCCTTGCTGCGTGGCCTGCCTTCAGGGTGCTCTGCATCTCTGCTGTCAGCCCCAGTGTACAACCCCAACAAGGCTGTCTTTACCGTTGATGCCAAGACCACAGAGGTATTCTGTAGTTTGAGGCTCAGCGTGGATGTGGATTTGGAGTTATACATCAAACCTTGTCTCTCTAACAGAGGAATTTATGTTTTAAGTGTAATTAGAAAAACATATGGTTTTACCAGTACGGTAGCAAAAGCAATAAGAATTTGGAATACTAAAGCATCTAAGCAAGTTGAATCTTCTTGGCAGAGGTTCCAGAGAAGGATTGGGGTGCATGCTTTGTCATTTTTGAAACATGTTAACTAAGAGCAATATTCAATGCTTGAATTAAATGTGTTTGTTCTGTGTCCAATCATATATATACAGAAGCTGAGATTGTTAGACAGGATGTAAGTTCCCATATTTTTTCATAGTCTTTTTATTTAGCTAGTTTTATTACATTTATTTGTGTGTGTGTGCACGTGTGTGTGGTGTGCTATAATATGAGTGTGGAGGTCAGAGGACAACTTGCTGGGGTCAGTTTGCACCTTTACCTGATGAGCCATCTCACTGATTCATAGTCTTGTCATGTACTTGTTCTGTCTGGTGAAGGGTCCTGGGTATGATTAGTTGTCCCGAACAGGGTGTGTTGGTGAGGTGATGAGATCTTGGGTGCAAAGTGTGAGTGTCAGTATGTGAGCCTCTGAGCCAGCCTGTAGTGGGAAGGCACTGGAAGCAGTGCTAGGGAAGGGCACATCTCTGGCCTCCCTGCCAGCTCTTGTGTCCTCCTCCTTGACTGTTTCCAGGGGCACCAGCAGCTGCTGGTGACATGTGTGTTCTCTGCAGATTCTGGTTGCCAATGACAAAGCCTGCAGCCTCCTAGAGTATAGCAGTCATGACCTGATTGGTCAGAAGCTTGCACAGTTCTTCCTCAAGTCAGATTCCGAGGTGGTGGAAGCCCTCAGCGAGGAGCATGTGGAGGCTGACGGCCGTGCCGCAGTGGTGTTTGGCACAGTGGTGAGTGGGTGTGCGGGGGCTTCTGCCTGACTTTGAGTCAAGAGTCCACGTAGAGGGAAGAACTCCACCTCACTGCCTAGGTTCTGGCTTTGAGCTGTGCTCTGCTGTGGGGCCAGTAGCACCTGCAACTTCAGCATCTTCAACTAAAACTTGATCCTGGTGCTGTTTGCCCCCTTCAGCTGAGAGGAGGGATGGGCCCTTTAAAATCAAAACATCTTGAGGAGAGATGTAGTGACTGTGGAGCTTTATTGTCTTGGAGATCCCCTTGCTTTGGTGAGGTTTGAGGCTTGGCCTGCATTTTGCAAACCTGCAGGCACCATATGAGAGTCCTAGAAAATTTTTTCACTCATCTTTTTAATTGACTGTATGCATGCTTTTGTGTGTGTGTGTGTGTGTGTGTGTGTGTGTGTGTGTGTGTGTATGTACATGTGTATGTGGGTGCATGTGGAGATCTGAGGTTGATGTTGGGAACATCCTTCATCGTTCTTTCACCTTATTCATTGAGGCAGGTTCCTCAGTCAAACCCAGAGCTCTCCGATATGGCTAGTCTTGTTAGCTAGCTTGCTCTGGGGATCCCTGTCTCTGCCTTCTGAAGCTGGAATTATAGGTGGGCTTCTACACCCATCCAGCATTTAAGTGGATTTCTGGGAATCTGAACTCAGGTCTTTGTGCTTGTGTGGCAAGTGCTGTAACTTCTGAGCCATTTCCCTAGCCCTGAAAAATGATATACTTTTATTGTTGTGCCTGGTTCTTATCTCGAAATCTGTGCATTCTATTTTGTGTTTGTTTGGTATAAGGAGTGGGAGCATTTTACTGGAGAGTTTTGGTCCTCTTCACTGGACTGCTGGGTCTATCTGGGACATTGATAGGAGAGCTGAGTTATTGGATGCTGAGGACTGAGCCTCTGGCATCAGAACTTGTACAGGGTCAGTTGCATAAGCAAATTATTGAGTCAAGAAGCTGACACTACCAGGGCTAGAGAGATGACTCAGTGGTTAATAGCACTGGTGGCTCTTGGCAGAAGACCTGGGTTCAAATCCCAGCTCCTACATGGCGGCTAACAGCTGTCTATCACTGCAGTTCCAGGGGACCTGATGCCGTCTTCTGTCCTCTGTGGGCATTACATGACACGAGTGCACTTACAGATATGCAGGCTAACACTCATTCATATACATAAAATAAAAATAAATAAAAATTTTTTTAAAAAGCTGATTACCACCAAGAAAATCTTCAGCTCTCCACATGTGCTGTTTCTTTAGGAAATAACAGATAACTGCTTTTTTTCTCTCCCTTCTACCTTACCATGAAGCTAAGTATATTGGTCTCTAGAAGCATAGATTGAACTATGTATATATAGATGAAGGGAATTATTAGATTGGCTCACTGGATTGGAGGCTGGGTAGTTTGACGATGACTGCAGGCTAGAGAACCAGAGGCACCAGTAGCTACTCAGCCCAGGAAGCTGGAGCCTCAGAACAACAGGGGCTAATGATGCAGCCCCAGTGTGAGACTGAAGGCCTGGACCCCCTGGAGAGTTGCTGATGCAAGTGTGTATTCAAGGATGAAGACTCAGGTTTGATGTTTACAGGTGATGGTACTAGCAAACAAGGAGGGCATGGGAGTACATGCTTATAATACCAGAGCATAGACAATCAGGAATTGAAGACCAGCTTGGGTTATAGAGTGAGTCTGAACCTGGTCTACATGAGAGCCTGTCTTAAAACAAAAAGCAAAACAAAACAGCAAGCAGCAACAACAAAACCCACCAGCACTAGCAATGAAAGAATAGTTGAGAGTGTGTATGAGCTTACCTTATCTTCTGGAAGACCATTCCTTCCAGGTTCCCATTCCCCATTCAGGGCTCCTCTTCTCTTGGTTCACTCACCCACACATGAGTCCTCTCTGGAAGCATCTTCCCAGATAGACCTAGTTTGTGCTTCAGGAGTTTTCTAGTCCTCTCTCAAGGTGACAACCAAGAGTAGCTATTACACTAAGCATGAAACCATCTTGATAAAACATTCACTCAGACTGTAGCACTGAGGCCTAAAAGCGTCATTTATATTTTGGTAGATTTCTGAAGCAAGTCAGGTGAATGGAGCTTGACTTCACTGAAGCACTGGAGCATGGGGAGGATCTTTTCTGATGACAAGCACCTTTCCATGCTGGTTACAGGGTCCACAGTGCAGATGCTGTATGCCCTGGTGCAGTGTACATGTGTCCACAGGTAGACATTGTCAGCCGCAGCGGGGAGAAGATTCCAGTCTCTGTATGGATAAAGAGGGTGCAGCAAGAGCGTGGCCTGTGCTGTGTGGTGGTCCTGGAGCCCGTGGAGAGGATCTCTGCCTGGGTCACCTTCCAGAGTGATGTGAGTGTGTGTTCGTATCTTGGCCATCTCCTGTTAGCTCCTCATCCAGTTCTTTTTCCTTTTTTTTTTTTTTTTTTTTTTTTTTTTCTTTTTTTAAGACAGGGTCTCCCTGTAGCCCCAGCTGTCCTGGAACTCACTATGTAGACCAGGCTGGCCTTGAACTCACATAGATCCGCCTGCCTCTGCCTCCCAAGTTTTGGGACTACAGGCGTGTGCCACCACACCCGGCCCCCCCTTTTTAAAAAAAATATTTTATGTGTATGCATGTATTGTGTGCATGTAGGTAAGTGCACCCATGTCATGCAATGCCTGCGGAGGACAGAAGAGGCTGTCGGATCCCCTGGAACTGGAGTTACGGACAGTTGTTAGCTGCCATGTGGGTGCTGGGATTTGAACCCAGGTCTTCTGCAAGAACAACCAGTGTTCTTAACCGCTGAGCCATCTCTCCAGCCCTTCTTTCCTTTTCTAATGTAGGGAAGGAAGTGCCAGAGGTGTCTGGAGGTTTGCCCTGCCTATGGCCCTTACTGATCATGCTTAGGCAAGGAGCCCAGTCACCAGTGTGTTTCCTTACTCTTAAAGTAGGAATGTAATCACAACTAGGATTGTTCTTTTACTTAAAGATGTAAAACTCTCAGAAAAGCTCTTGTATATGAACTGGGATGTTCTTGCTAAAGAGCCTCTGGCATTGGCCAGAGCTTCTGGAGAGCACTGGAGAGAGTCACAATTTAGGTGAACCTGGTACAGTGAGGAAAATGGTATTGTTTTTGCGAAAGCCCATGGGCATGCCTCTTGTGCTTTGGATACAGAAGTTGTGTCAATGTTCTTGCTTTTAGCTTCTAAATACTGAAATATAAAGTGCAAGATGCTTTTATCTGGAGTACTGCTTTTCTTTTCCAGGGAACCATCACGTCATGTGATGTTCTCTTTGCTCATCTCCACGGGTTCATGTCTGCAAAGGAAGTGGTTGGTCAGTGTGTCACAGACTTGATTCCATCCATGCAGCTTCCTCCTCCTGGCCAACATGTCCCAAAGGTAGGACCCTGGCCATCTATACTGGGAGCTGGGTATTGAGTTCTTAGACCAGAATCTGTAACTTGACTGTAGAACCATCCTGGGAAGGGAAAAACTCTATCTCTGGCTGTCTATGCTCTGAGTGTTGACCAGGGCCCAGAGCATATGGCTTCTCCTGGCTGGCTGATCTTGTCCTCTCTGTATTCTCTTTCATGAGAGTCAGGGAGAATAGGTTGATCTATAGGGTAACCTTGTACCTTGGTTAGAGTTCTTCATACAGAACAGATGGGAATTTGTATAGAGACACTAGAGGGGATTAGTTAGGGGAATTAATTGATATGAGGTTGCCCACAAGCTAGAGATCTTGGGGAGTACCCTGAGTGTGGCCCACCCAAAGTTGAAGGCTTGAGAATCTTGAGGGCCTCTGGAGGAGGTCCTAGAGCCCAGAGGCTGGAGAGCCTAGAGTTCTGATTCCCACAAGCAGTACAAGGAAGGGCGTCCCAGCTGTATAAGAGAGACTCTGATTGGTCCTTCCCCAGTTTATCTTTTGGATCCTAATCTGACTGGATGGTGCTGCTCATACTGAGGATGACTGTCCCTTACTCAGCCCACTCACCTATCCCTGGAGACACCCTCAAAGACATACCGAGAAATAATGCTTGACTGACTGGTTTAGGTATTTCTTAGTTAGCTATCACTCCCGGAGGTGAACAGTGTGTCCCACAGCCTCTACTGGAGGTGGGCAGTAGAGGCTAGGTATGGTGGAGGCCTGATTCATACTGCCTTTTCTTAAAATTTTACATTTTTTTTAGCTCAGCGTGGTGGGTCATGCCTTTTATCCCAGCACTCGGGAGGCAGAGGCAGGCAGATCTCTGTGAGTTCGAGGCCAGCCTGGTCTACATAGCGAGTTCTAGGCCAGCTGGAGTTACAGGAAGACCCTATTTCAAAAAAAAAAAAAATTTACATTTTTATTTTATGTGTATGAGTGTTTTGCCTGCATGTAAGTACATTGTGTGTGTCAGTGCCCTCAGAGGCCAGAAAAGTGTTGGGTCCTCTGGAACTGGAGTTACGGATGTTGTTATCTGCAGTGTAAGTGCTGGGAACCGAACCTGTGTTCCCTTCAAGAGCAGTAAGTGCTCTTAACCACCGAGCCATCTTCTAGTGCCCATACTGAATTCTTAGGCTCCCTATTTCCTTGATTAGTATGCAGCCTTTACACAAGGGACCCAAGAACTGTCTTTGCTTGCTGCTTTTCTGCACCTTTGGGAGTGAACTGACAGCTGTTTTGACCAAAGTCAGTTCTGCTGTGGTGAGAGGGAAGGTCCTTGCAGGACATCCATCAAATGTGGTTCTCTAAACTCAGTCCCTTAAGCTGACTTGTATGTCAGGCTTCTGGTTTGGGATGCAGCTCTGCCCCCATCTTGTCCTCTCTGCACCTACCTCTCTGTTCTACTCCGGCATAACAGCCAGCAGATTGGCAAGGCATTAGCTGGTGGCAGTGCTATAGGACACTGTATGGCAGCTGCTGCTGACCTGCTCTCAGGCAGACCTCTGACTTCCCAAGTAGGGTTTCCTGGAAATGGCAGCAAAGGCCACACGTGAGTATGTTCTCAGCCCTAATCAAGTCACCATCTCCCTTGGAAACAGATGGAGCCTGTAAAAGGGGGCACCCTGCCCCTCATTCCTTGCAGGGCTCATGGGTCCTGGGGGCAAGTGGGATTGGCTGAGGCGGTTCCTGGCGAGTGCCTTCCTCTGAGGTAGGTGGGTCTTGAATTCTGACTTGGACCATTGCTCCGTGCTCATCAACTGGGTGGTCACTATGCTCAGGACAGAGTAGATGAATCAGCAGGCCTCGGACGTGGTCCTGCACTTTGTATATCTTCCAGGTTGGGCCCTGAAGCAGAGTGGACAAGAAAGGCTGGGTTCAGCTTCCTACCTGAAACCACATAGTCCAGGCTGACTCTGAACTCAGGGTCCTCCTGCCTCTGCCATCCAAGTGCTGGGATTACAGTGTATACCATCATGCCTGGCCATATTCAAAATATTAATTGGAAAAATTGTGCTTTCTAAATAATTGAAGCAGAGTGACATAATGCAGGGTCTTGGTTGTATAGGAGAGGGAGGAGCTAAGAGTAGATGGGATAGTTTGGTCCCCTAGAGACTAGCCACAGCAGGAAGCCAGTGCCTCTAAGCTGGAGGGACAGAAGATTGGGTGAGGCGGTTGTCTTAGTTTATTTTCCTGTTACTGTGATAAAATGGTCTGATAAAAGCAATTTAACAAAGAAAGGGTTTATTCTGGGTCATAGTTCAAGGGTACAGTCTGTGCTGGTAGGGAAGTCAAGGCTGCAGGAGTGGGAAACAGCTGGTCACATTGCATCCACCAGCAGGAAGCAGAGAGTGATGAAGGCATGCTGCAGCTCAGCTCCTCTTCTCCACTTGTACCCTCCAGAATCCCAGCCAGGGAATGGTACCACTCATGGTGGGTGGATCCTCCCACCTCAATTAATGTAATCAAGATAATCCCACACAGGCAGGCTGAGCGGCCTGTCGCCCAGGTGATTCTAGATTCCGTCAGGATGACAGCACTATGACAGCTATCTCACAGATGGACTCTGCAGTAACTGAGGCTGAGAGGGAAGACTGACTCTCTTTCCCTCCAGACTCAGAACTGAGAAGAGGGATGTAGTATGCTGTAGTTTGGCACAGATGCCTGCTGGGGTTGAAGCTGAGTCCAGTCCCCTCACCGGTTTGCACGTTGGTGCTTTCTCTCGTTTTTTGTTGTTCTGTACTCTTCAGTCCTTCCAGCCTGTAGCTGCTGTTCCTTTCTCTGAGCAGAGTGGGACTGGGGATACCCAGGGAGAGCAACATGGGTGAGGGATGTTCCTGGCACCTTTCTGTGGTAGATGTATGAGTGGAATTGGGATCAGAAACGTCACACCTCAGTATTATGTCCACACACAGTGCTGCTGCAGTTCTGAGTGGGGCGCCCTGTCTTTCAGAGTCTTAAGATTCAAAGGTCAGTTGGGAGAGCCAGAGACGGCACCACCTTCCCTCTGAGTCTGAAGCTGAAATCCAAGCCCAGTGGAAAGGCTGTAGATGACAGTGAGGCTGCTCCTGATCCAGGTTACCAGGCATCTGTGTGGGCGTTCTGTACAATCAGTGGTCTCATCACCCTCCTGCCTGACGGCACCATCTATGGCGTTAACCACAGCTTCGCGTTAATGTTGTTTGGTTATGGAAAGACCGAGCTCCTGGGCAAGGTAGGCCTGCCTAGCTTCCAAGCCCCTTAGTTCTCTGTGGAAGTTGTTCTGCATGTGTGATAAGCCATGTATCTGATGGGCTGTCCAGCTTGCAGGATGTACCTATCCTCTTCATAGCCACACATCTGACTTTCCTAGTCTCCACATCAGTGCCCACCTTTAATGTCTTCTGATTCATTCCAGAGGAGGTGAGAGCTCTAAGCCTGGAAGCCCTGATCCCAGCCAGGCCTGGTCTTGCCCATTGAACCATGTTTTGAGCACCCTGTGGATACTGCTTGTTCTCATGTCTTAAGTGTGACTGGTGGTGGGTAGTGGAGGAGGGTTTCTTTAACTTCCCTTCCTGGGGTTGGACTTGGACTTGGGTGGGCATTTTACCCACTGGGATTCAAGCCACTGACCTTAACTGCCCTTTGTCCTCACCCAGACGTATAGGGACAGTCTCATCATGCCTTTGTACTTTATGCCCATAGACAGTGCTTAAAACACTACAAGTCATGTACTTTGACCATTATTCAACCTGTTGGTCCAGGCTGTTTTGTTCCACATGGTGTCAGCTAAGGGGTAACTCACTAGCTCACATTCTTGGCATGGATGCTGTTTGGCTATTCACAGGACCATCTTGCCTCTAAGTCTCACTTCAGCCTCAGAAGTTATGCTGCACAGCTCTTATAACCCCTCTTAGCAGCGTCCCATCAGTCCACTGGGAAGGGACGTGGTTCCCATTTGCTGGAGGGGTCATGGAGCAGCTTTGGGAAGCTACATGTTTCCACCAGCTGTGCTACCTGCATGTCCCATCCTGCTTTCAACACCCTCCTGCCCCCTCTTGCTGTTGACACCTGTGAGTGCCCCCCTGCTCACCTGGCTACTGGATGTAGGTGCTAGCTTATGGCCTTTCCCTGAGTACCTTGATCACATGGGGCCAGCCTCCAAAGGAGGGTATTTCCTTTTGTCATTTCCACTGGGTGACACTGGATTGGTAACAAGGATTTAGAGTTTACTAACCTCTTCTGAGGCTCCAAAAAAGAGATTGCTCTGCCCTCCAATGAAAAACTCTAAAAAAGGTCGGGCATGGTGGCGCACGCCTTTGATCCCAGCACTCTGGAGGCAGAGGCAGGTGGATCTCTGTGAGTTCAAGGCCAGCCTGGTCTACATAGCGAGTTCGAGGCCTACTGGGGCTATAGGGAGACCCTGTCTCAGAAAGACCGAAAAAAAGAAAAACTCTAAAAAAGTGGGGTTGGAGATATGGTTGAGAACAGTTGAGATGGTCAGCAGTTGAGAGCACTGGCTTTTCCTCCAGAAGACTCTGGTTTGATTCCCAGCACCCACATGATGTCTAATAGCTATTCATAACTCTAGTTCCAGGGGATCTGATGCCATCTTCTGACCTGTGAGGGCATTGCACAACATGGGTGCACTTGCATGTAGGCAGTACACTCATACACTCAAAATAAAAATAATCCCAGCACTTGGGAGACAGAAGCAGGTGGATCTCTGTGAGACCAAGGCCAGTTGGGGCTATGGGAATACCCCTTTGTTGTTTTTTTTTTTGTTTTTTTTTTTTTTTTTTTTTGAGACAGGGTCCCCCTATAGCCCCAGCTGGGCCTGGAATTCCCTATGTAGACCAGGGTGGCCTTGAACTCACAAAGATCCACCTGCCTTTGCCTCCCAAGTGCTGGGATTAAAGGCGTGCACTACCATGCCCAGCTGGGAATACCTTTTTTTTTTTGTTGTTG